ATAAAAATCTTTGAATTATTTTATGCTGTATTGGCATGTGTATATCAATTGTTAGTTTGTTGGGTCAATAATATTATTATTAGTCAGCCAATGAGCTGACTACAGAACTTTTGGGGGGTTAGCCATGCTATGTAGAAGTGAATTTAAACCACATATAAAGATTCTAAAAAACACAAAATCGGATTTTCAGTGGATTAAGTTAGAGAAAAATTTTTTCAATTTTGACCAAGATCTATTCATATGTGTACTATATAACCCCCCGGAAAATTCATCTTATTCCAAAGGTATTGACTATGATATTCTCGAGTGTATTGAAAAAGACATACCTCATTACAAATCACTTGGTAATATTCTACTTTGCGGAGATTTCAATGCAAGGGTATCTACAGAACCTGATTTCATTGAAAACGATGATGATAATTTTATTCCTCTTGATCCAAGATACAATGCTGACTTACAAATTATTAATCGACTTAACATGGACTCTAAATTAGATAATCGAGGCAAAGAATTATTAGATCTCTGTATATCAAACCAATTGAGAATATTAAATGGTCGTACCTTTGGAGATACAGTTGGTAATTATACATGTTTTACACCAAATGGATGTAGCACAGTTGACTACGTGTTGGTTTCAGAAAAAATACTAAACCAAATATTGTATTTTAGAGTATCAGAATTTTTACCTACTTTGTCTGATTGCCACTGTTTGTTGCAATGGTCACTATCTGCCAGGTTTTGTCTTAAATCTGATATGAATGATGTCAATTCAAGTCCTGTATCTCCTAACTACATTTGGTCTGATGATTCTTCTGCTCGCTTCGAAGCCGCTCTTAATTCAGAGGACATTCAAAGAAAATTACATAATCTTTTAAATGGACCTAATCTTAATTCTCCCTCAACAATTGATAATGCTACATTAGAATTATCTAATATCCTTATTAATACTGCAGATAAGTCCCTTAGAAAATGCAAAAAAAAATGCAAAAAGACAAACAAAAACCATAAAAAATGGTTTGATTCAGACTTGAATTCTATGAGAAGAAATCTATTTAGCTACGCAAAAATATATACTAAATACCCCAAAGATCCCGCTGTCAGAAATCACTATTACAAACTGTATAGAGAATATACCAAAACAAGGAAATACAAATGCAGACAGTATAAACAATCTCTGCTAAAACAGTTAGAAACTCTACATGAAGAAAACCCAAAATCTTATTGGAATCTTATTGATAAGCTGCAAGGTACTGAAAACATGAACAGCTCGGATGCAATCGATCCAAACACCTGCGTCTCTCACTTCCAAAATCTAAACCAACCAAAACCCAAGTATGCTCAACGTCTGGCACAGCTTGATAATATTCTTACCAATCTGGAAAAAAGTAAATGTTTTAGTGAACTTGATAATCATATATCTGTAGCAGAAATTTCAAATGCTATCTCAAAATTAAAAAATGGAAAAGCCCCAGGTCTTGACAATATTTCAAACCATATGATCAAATGTAGTCAAACTTTTTTACTACCATGTCTCTATAAAATATTCAACTGTTGCCTTACATTTGGATATTATCCAAAACCTTGGTCTTCTGGGTACATTATTCCTATTTATAAAAGTAATGATAGTTCTGATCCAAACAACTATCGGGGCATTACAGTTACAAATGCAATAGGAAAGTTATTCAATAAAATACTAGACATTCGACTTGATAAATTTTTAGAAAAACATCATGTAATAAGTGATTATCAGATCGGCTTCACTCGAAAAGCAAGAACATCAGACCATATGTATATACTCAAGACAATTATTGATAAGTACTGTAATACTAAAGATGGTAGAGTATATGCCTGCTTTGTTGATTTTCAAAAAGCCTTTGATACTGTTATACACACAGGAATCAAAATTAAACTCCTCAAAATAGGGGTAGGAACAAATTTTTATGAAGTAGTGAAAAGTATGTATACATCAAGTAAATCCTGTGTCAGAGTCGATAATAAGATTACTAACTTTTTCCCAATAACTTTGGGAGTGAAGCAAGGTGACAATCTCAGTCCCAATTTATTTAAAATTTTTATTAATGATCTTCCAGATTACCTAAACTCAGCTACTGACCCTGTTTATTTAAATTCAAATTCAGTTAAATGTTTGATGTATGCTGATGACATAATTCTACTCTCCTCCACAGCGGAAGGTTTACAACAAGAACTTAATATTCTACAGCAATACTGTAACGATTGGTGTCTCTGTGTAAATACATCTAAAACAAAGATAGTTGTTTTTAACAAAGCAGGTAGACTCTCCAAAACAAAATTTTACCTCGATGATGTCGAACTGGAATGTGTGTCTGAATACAAATATCTAGGTGTGACATTTTGTTCTTCGGGTTCTTTCTCCTTTGCTCAAAAGCAGCTTTATCAAAAAGCATTAAAATCATTTTTTAAACTCAGGAAAAATTTCATTTCCCTGAATCCTGAGGTTAAAACCACTATTCATATTTTTGACCATACAATTAAACCTATTTTATTGTATGCATCTGAAGTTTGGGGTTGTTTTAATCCATTTACAAAAAAAAATAGCATACCCAATTGTACTATTGATAAAATATACTCCAACTTATTCTGTAAAAAACTCCACTTGAAATTTTGTAAATCAGTACTAGGTGTGCATAAAACTGCAACTAATTTTGCTGTATTGTCTGATTTAGGTAGATTTCCCCTGCACTTTGACATTGTAAGATCAATGATAAGGTACTGGTATAGGCTTGAAAATCTAGGCCATTCTTTCCCAATTTTAAAAGATGCATATTGTGAATCCAAATCATTGTTTGAGAAAAACATCCCTTCTTGGTACAGCTCCATTAATTTTCTTATTACCAATATCGAGGGTATTCGTGATTTAACTTCAGTCAAAATGCACAAATTCAAACGTGAACTTAAAGATTGTTTATTTAGATATTATATACAAGAGTGGAATTCTCAACTTAAATCACACTCTGATAAAAAGCTGAGATGCTATAGCACTTTTAAACAAAATTTTGGTCAAGAAAAGTATCTTAATTTAATTAAGAATTTTGAGCAGAGGAGAAGTTTTACTCGTTTTCGCATATCAGCTCACAGACTTAATATTGAAAGGGGTCGATATATAGGCATTCCTAGAGAAGAAAGACACTGCAATAGATGCAATAACAAAACAGTTGATGATGAGAAACATTTTCTCTTTTCATGTAATCACATTAAGGATGAAAGAAAAGTCTTGTATGAATTAATAAACAATTCCTGTAAGAATTTCCACAACTTGGACAGTGAAAATAAGTTAAATTGGCTCATGACTAATGAGGATGTGCAAATACTGATTCAAGTCAGTAAAATGATTATGAGAGCTGAAGTATGAAAAGTATTAGTAAACCTGGTTTGTTTTTTTGTTTTTTTTGTTTTTTTTTTTTTTTTTTTTTTTTTTTTTTTTTTTTTTTTGAAATTTAATGTGTCCCCTCATTCCCTTCTTAAATGTACAGAATCAGTCAGAATGGGTGTCTTGAATACTTAGAGTACGGGTTTGCCAGTATAATCGGCTGTGCAGAGGCATCGTCCCCTGGTACCCTCTGTATCCAAGTTACCTTTTCTTTACATTAATTGTATGCTACCTTCAAGATCACAGATTTACATTTATACAGGATAGTACCATTTGTTTATATATATACATATATTTGTGTGTAAATTATTATTTTTGTATGCATGGATATGTGTAACAATAAGTGTATGTTTATAATATATACTATACATACATATATTTGTATATAAATTATTATTTTTGTATGCATGGATTTGTGTAACAGTAAGTGTGTGTTTGTGTATGTGGGTATGCATATGTCAAATATCTATTGAACTAACTCCAAGAGATTAGTTTGCATTAAGTTTCTAATTATATGCTAAGTACTTATTAATTGAAATTACTATTTCTGTTAATACTTAAATGATTTTTTTTTTTTTTTTTTGAATGACCATCTTCAATACTTAGGGTACAGGTTTGCCAGACTGGCTGTGTAGAGGTATCATCCCCTGGTGCCCTTTGTATTCAAGATGCACTAGTTTTATATTAGAGTACTGCCATTACTACAAGATTTTTTTTTGTTTTTTTGTTTGTTTTTTTTTTTTTAATTTACCTTATATCTATCATTTTTATTTAATTGTGTTTTCTTTTATCATTCTATGGTTTCTATGCTTTTGATCCAGTGTGGTGATGCACTTCTCAATGTCAAACTTAATCACAAGTCATGTTACATTATCCTTAATATAGAATTGTAATCAATGTTATCATTTTGTAATAATTGTTCATGCCCCCTGTGGGCCCTTGATTGGTGAATAAACATATAATAATAATAATAATAATAATAATAATATATAGGCCTAATTATCGTGCGAAAAACTTTGACAGTGTTCTGGAATTCTTGTTGGTGCATGGTTCTGCGCAGTTAATCACTCAAGATTGCTAATGTCATTACAGTAAAATTAGTATTGGTTGAACCAAGAAATCCCTACTTTAACACATGCCATGTAAGTGTTTAATTTCAACCTAAACAGCTAGGAAGGCCCCAATATCACACTGTAACATCATACGTACATTTAATCAATGGACTGGGTTCGAGGGCAGCATGCGTTTTGTCGGACCTAAGAGAACCAAACTGTTTGTTGCCTTAGACTGATCATCATTTAAAAGGGGTCATTATTCGTCTTTAATCGAAATTAAATTTAGATGTCAACGTACCTATAATGAAAATTTGAGCCATCTCCAAGATATCGTCTGCACAAAATTTCATTGTACATTACACATGTTTCATTAAAAGAATAATAATGATGATGAAAAAGAAACACAAGAATGTTACAGATTTCCGATGAAGGAGCTAATAATAATCACTTTGTGTCTGACTGTTTCTAGAAATTCGTATTTCCCGCCAAATACACTGATCTATAGCCATAGTTATGTCTCTTGAATAGAGCTCTCTGATGTTAGGAGATATTTTTTTCCGAAACAAAATAAATTGGAAGTTGAATAGACATCTAGACAAGAGTTACAGTATGATGAGTATGCAATTCTTAGGCCTACATCGCGTTGTGTGAATAATGGCTGGTCTGGAGGAGCTTGGTATCCCGGGGGGAGAATTTCTCCGGGAGTCTCTCACAAACTGCGCCGACCCTCTCGCTGCTATAGAGGAGTTCCAAACGGACAATGGAATTCTGTTACCATCATTAAGACCTGCATTGCCCTTCGTAGATTTACATGATATTAAACGCCTTGACTTTCATTCTTCGGTTCTGGAGGAGTTAAGAGAGAGACTGGTACAGCAGATTTCTGATGTGGCTTCTGGAGAAGATGAAGACAGATACAAAAAGCTAGAGAGTCTTTTGGAGAAAAGTTTTCCTGTTATTAAAGTGAAGAGTCTCCGACCAGTTGTAATGGCCATCCTAAAGCACCTGCCGAAAATCAAGGATGAGTATTTAGAAAAAATATTAGAGGATAAGGAGCTGTATGGTGAGGCAGCCACTGAGGTGAAGCGGCAAATTTGGTCGGACAATCAGGCATTATTTGGAGATGAAGTCTCTCCTTTATTATCGCAGTACATCAAAGAAAAAGAGAATTCTCTGTTTTCCCATGAAAACAGTTCCCAGACTTTCTTCTTAGCATCACCAAAATTACGAAGACAGAGTGAAGTTGTTCAACGACTTGCTGATATGGTTGGCAAAAATGTTAAATTGTATGACATGGTCTTACAGTTTTTGAGAACTCTCTTTCTTAGGACAAGAAATATGCATTACTGTACACTTAGGGCAGAACTTCTGATGGCCCTACATGACCAGGAGGTCAACGATATCTGTTCCATTGACCCTTGTCATAAATTTACGTGGTGTGTTGATGCCTGCATAAGGGACAAATTTATTGATAGCAAGAGGTCGAGGGAGCTTCAGGGATTTCTTGATGGAATACGAAGAGGACAAGAATTTGTTCTAGGGTATCACAGTCACATAATTCATTGTGAATCTCCTCAAACATTTAGTTAACCAAAAGTAAAATGGTTACTTTAAACGTCATTATACGCACCAAGTATTTGTAAGACATAATATCAATGTATAATATCCTGAATATATTATGAACATTATATATGTAACTGTTAATGTTCAAACAAGTGTCTATTTGAAAGTAGAATGAATGTAAGAATCCTTTTAACAATGAGTGTCCTATTACATTTCTTTTTTTCAGCGATTTATCCATGGTTCTTTGTGATCCATTCTCAATGAATACAGTTGGTCTCTCGATGATGAGAAACTTACAGCACTGCATCAACAGTGAACTCCTACCCAGGGTTTGTGCATCCAGAACTCAACTGCCTGATATTCTAATGAAGCATTTACTTATTTTTTGTAATTCATAGTGTAAACTAACTACAATATGTAACCAGCTGTTTTATTTACGATTTGTAAGTTTGAAATCAATCAGCAATGATGACCTAACATTGCAACTGTAGAATTATTCATCATACATGCAAATACTGTACAAATTGAAATAAATACTGTATACAGGGTTATTTTCGCCACGTATTATTTTGGCCCTTTTGAACTTGTGAACAATTTTGCCCCATTTTAAATTCGCCCATTCATAGTTCTGTTTAAGAAATTATGAGGTGTAATTTGAATTCGCCCCGTTTTAAATTCGCCCAATCAAAATTTGTCTTTTGTCTGTCAACAGTCATCACTGTATACAGTAGTTTATGGTGAGAAATATTTAAATATAAGTAAATTAAGTTTACAAAACTTGCCAACACTTATCACACACAATTAAAAATTGGTTTACAGTAATTAATTAGCTCACCTGAGCCAAGTGAGCTTTTCTGAGAAAAAGTTGTCTGTCATCCTCAGCATAAACTTTATATTTTTGTCTTCTTTTCAAGAACCACTGGGCCAATTTCAACCAAACTTGCCACAAAGTATCCTTCAGGCTTGGGTGAAGGAATTTCAAGTTTGATCAAATGAAGGGACCAGGCATTGATGGCATCTTTTAAAAATCTCAAGAACCAATGAGCTAGGAAAGATTAAACTCATGTTTAATCATCCTCAGGTAGTGTAGATTCAAGTTTGTTAAAATCGGGACCCCAGGGTAGGGTGGGCCCACTATAGGTGATCAAAGTTTTACATAGGAATACATCTAGGAACAATCATTATAAGTCTTCTCAATAACAGTAAAGCCATGAATGGTCATAGTTAAAGGAAAGCATCCTTAGATATTGTAGATTCAAATTTGTTCAAATCATGACCCCAGGGAAGAGAGTGGGGCCACAATGGGTGACCATAGGAAAAAAATCTGGAGAACAGCTAACCTGTGATTGGTCATATTTATACTTTTCAATGCTAAACTGAATAATTTTCTGTGTTTTTCCTAGCCAATGTGCTCAGGTGAGCGATTTGGCCCCTTGTCTCTTATTGGTATATACATGTACATTAAATACATGTACAGATGTGAATGTCAGCAGATTTCATGATATTCTTCAAGTTTGTAGAAAGGAATGAATTGAACACAGTTATAGTTTTTATTTTTGTAGGAGAGTACTGAGATCGGTCTGTTGGTGAGGATGATGGGGCTGGGACTGGGTTCCTGGGATATGATTGACAGTCAGCTGTTCAGAGAACCCAAACTGGTGAGTAACAAAGGGAGGTGTCGCTCATTGAACTGAGACGTACGCTGGCTGAGATCAATCTGAGCTGCTAGTTGTACTGAGATGTACACTGGCTGACTATTGCTCTGTTTGGCTGTGTGATGTGTGATTATAAAGATTTGATAACTATGAAATTAAGATAACCATTATTAATTTGACATGACAGGAGTCGTCTCTGTTCACCAAGTTTTTACCGATGATTTCCTCCCTGATGGTGGAGGATCATGCCAGGCTGCTGATTGCCAAGTTACCAGAGGAACCCCCCCTCAGCGCCACCCCACCCTCTGACCTCTTCCTGACCTTTGTTAAGGAGAACCCTATCGCTAGCTTCACAACCCTATATTACTCCCTACAGGTAGGCCATGAATAGATTAAAGAAAATACATGTACTAAATATTGTACTAAACTGCACATTACATGCATGCACTAAATTTTATTAGGTGCATTGTCAGTTGTCTGCAATTAACAGTTCAAGCACACTTTATTTGAAAATGATGACAGATAAATCTTTTCTGTTTAAGTGAAGTTTACTGACCTTGTGTAGGTTTTATTAAAGGCTCCAGAAATTATTTCATTCCAATATAAATCTTAATACCCAAGAATTTTGAAAAAAGTGGAAAAAAATCTTCCTTTTGATAGAGTTACTTCTCTTTTGCTAATGTTATTAGCCGGGCTTATTGCTCAAAGAGCAATTTTTCCACTTTGACAGCTCAAAGCAGGACTCCATGCCACTAAACCGGAAGTGAAATCGCAGTGAATATTTGATGTAATTGAAGAAAAAGCAACAAAAAAAATTTTATCATGTAAAATTCAACATTAGTAGTAATGTCTTTGAAAACTTCATAATAAAAAAAACAATTTTTTTTATACAAAATAATGCCTGATAAGGTCGCTAAGGCTAGCTGTTTGGCTCTTTGTCGACTTGGCTTTTTAGTGATTAAATTTGACGCCTTGTAAAAACTGAATTATCTGTCCCTGGTACATATCATCATATAAGTAAGAAAAAGAATTAATAACTCTTTAAAGTTCTTTTAAATATATTTAAAAACTTCAGACTCCTTTGGTTCAAGCACACTATATTTTAAATTGATGACAGTTAAAACTCCTCTGTTTATAAAGTATAACTCATAGACTTTGTAATAATATTGTGTTGGATTTATTTTAGGCGCCAGAAATTTTTTTATTCCAATATAAATCTGAATACCCAAGATTTGTGTAAAAGCTTAAAAAAAATCTTTTTTCTGAAAGAGTTAATTTTCTTTTATCGGGGTAATAGCTAATGGTTTATTTCAGTAAAGTGACTTCCCTTACATTAATGTTTTCTATTGAGTATCTTTGTATGTGTAGGTGACGAGGATGAAGGACAGAACAGCAGCGTGTAACATCCTCCCTGTCCTGGTCCACTGTGAGAACGAGCGAGCGTACGAAGACACCTTCCTTCACTCTCTCATCTCGTTCCTCATCGCCATGTCTGAAGAATTCGCTCACGACGACTTCTGCAGTGTCGTCTTTGATGATTTTCTTCTGGTAAAATTAATCTGTGTAGAGATTCAATATAACCAAATCATTGTAAGGATAAAATAGCCTATGCATTTTATCAAGCATTCTTTGATTTATACAAAGAGATACTAAAATGTCCAGTAATTGCATTTGTTGAAGTGTCCTCTGTAATCTTTCATTACCTAAGTTCAAACATACATCTTTCACTGTTTTATTTTTAAAAATTTATAAAATTGTCACAACTATTTAATATTTGTTCCTGCAGCCTGGTATATCTCGGGAAAATGTTCTGCGTCATCTTCTTCGTCTGTTATGGTACATCCATCCCAAGGTGCCCTCTGGTCGATTACAAGCCGTGCTGGACAGCACACAGCCAAACAATGAGGTGACAGTTACGTTCTATGTCAGGCCCGGGTCTTAACTCCACACAACAGAAGCTTTTCAATACTTTTTTATGGATATGTTTATAATTTCTATAAGATACTTGAGTTAAAATAATTTGATTTAGCCTAGATCTGGTCTTATTTGCTTGGTTACACATGTAATGTGTAATACATTGTACTATGAATATATAAAAGGCATGGTAATTATATACATGTAATCTATTGAATTTACAGCATAGTGATTGTGTTCACACCACATATCATCAACTGACAGAGAAAATAAATGCGTATCAACCAAGTCCCGCTACTCCGCAAGAACAGCTTGACTCGCCACTGATGAGTGTGCCAACCCCGGCTCCCCTGTAGGTCAGCGGGACGCGCCCCTGTATTTACGTCAGCGGGACTCTCAGTGTGTCCACACCTACTTCAATACAGGTCCGGAGGAGAGAGAAGTGGTCAGAGCTCCTGTACACCTGCAGAACCTTGACACAGTTGTGAAGCATTCTATTTACTAGTTTATTTATGCCATTTCAAATGGACTTCAAGGAATTCAGTAAAAATAATTATGCTTTTGCCATAAAATTTTTCAGGGAAATATTTATGTCTTTTCATCTGTTATTCTGTCTTAGGTTTTGTTTTTTGTCTTGCTTGTAGATAATGAGCTGATTTTTTTTGTATGTCTTTTATATTGATGACTATCAGATCCAATGTTTGATACTGATTAATCTATTTACACTACAGTTATTGCCTTTAGACTTAAAAAAAAATACTTTTGGTTGTTATTTCCTGTTTTTCAAGCCTTTTTGCTAGTAAGGATTAGTTGATTTTTACTCTGGTGACTTAAACATTGAGTTTGAGTTTCAGGTAAATAAACCAATTAATGCTCACCAGAGTTAAGAAATCTCGAGTTATTCATGGTTTTTCCAACTTTAATCTCAAGTACTTGAAAGTAACAAACAATATATTTTGTTTCTGTTTCGCATTTCCCTCTATATTATTTCAATATCCACTTACTTTCAAATTCTGAGAACTTCAATGTTGGCGAGGGCATTTTTATCATGCTGACATATGAAGTTATCCAGTGGATGTGTTTATTGCAATGGTCAGAGATTTTATTCACTGCATTGTATAGAGTTTTGCAAAATATGAAAGTAAGAAGTTGGAAAATTAAAAAAAAAAACTTGAATGTAAGGATTTTTAATAGATGTTGCATTTTACTTGTTAAATATTAAATTGATTTTTATACCCAATTGATTTTTTTGGTTCAGAAATGTTGGGGACACACACACCCTCACACAATAAAATGCTGTGTGTGAAGTGGAACAGGAGAATCACTCAAATAGTAAAATGACTTTGAATACAGTACATGTCCATGAAGGCCATGTTCAACTATTTCCTTTTTGGTACCTGAACTGACTATTTAAGTACATGTACCTGGTTTGTCCACATTCCCGTGTTCTTTGTTAATGACATTATGTAAATGTAGTTTTTCTTTAAGTTTATGTTTCTTTAAGTATAAGGTATAGGTAAAAAAAAAAAAAGTACGGCAATTTAAGACCACAGGTAAGCATAAGAGTTCAATCAGAGAACCCCCAGCTACAAAATGGAATCAGTGGTACAAGTATATTACTATCACGATTTTCATGCTAGTAAAAAATAACAAATTGTCTTCTTTTGACTATCAATCACTTGACTAATTAACATAAGCGGAGACTGATGTATAGATTAGGAATGAGTGATGAGGTCCACAGAGAATCGCGGGGATTAATGAGGCTACAAGTTATTTCCCTTTATCTCCAGTCCCACCCTTTACAAGGCAGAATTGCACAGCTCCCAAGAAGAAAAAAATGGTGGAAATTTACCAAGTATGAAAACACTTGTATTGAGATGCAAGTTTGGTGTGATATGTATATTTTGTGGTTACGTTGGTTTAAGGAAAAGGTTGGGGTTAATTAATGTTTTTCTGCGAGGCAGTGAATTGGTTGTAAATTTGCCACACCTCTAGTGAGCGATAGTTCACGTTTGTGTAATTAAAACATTTGTTTGATAAATACAGGTGTACACCATCATTCTGTGTGCACAGTAATTTACCTTGATAAAATTAACGACTCTGCTCAAACAACAACCAATCACAGGTAAATCCATTTATTTTGATAATAAATGATACTTATTGGTTGCCAAGGAAATTTGCCAATTTTGTTGGTATACTAGAAGGAAGGTCTAGTGTAATATTAAATGCTTAACTGCAGTTTCTTGATAATTGTTTTTGACACAACATAATTTGACATTAGACAGGCCCTGGTTTCAGTTATAGAATGTTTAATTCATGAACGTTGTCTTGTCCCCCTTGAACCTGTCAGTAAAACTGGCAGCTCGGGCTTCCAGTTAGTGAGTGCTCTAGTATTCTCTTCCTGATGAATTTTAATTCAACAGTATTCACGTTACATTCGTATAAAGTATAGTTGCATGTAGAATATTGTTGTACTAGTATATTTTTATTTTCCAAGTTACCAATAATGCATCATGTGCCTTTTCATAGAGGGGATGGACTTTTACATTAGATTTTAGATTTAAATTATTACAAAGTTTTTGAGCTATCAAAATTAGTATCAGGTCTTCTAATGTTTAATAATTAAAGTTTACAAATGTACACATCTTGCCAATTTTTTAAGAATTAGTCTTTTTTTTTTAATTTGTACAATACTTGACTTTAATATGGGTTCTGAATGGGACTGGTATGTGTTTTCATCATGATCAAAGTCATAGGATTGGGTTATGAAACATGGAGTTCTTGTCAAATCTATACTGTCTGTTTATCACAGTTTACTCTCAGGACAAATATTTTACTACACATGTATAACAAACAAGAAAACTACACACTGAATAAATGTGAACACTTTCTTTATCGGACTTCATTTCAATGAGACAGAAAATTTGTCACCGGGTATATATACAGCTCATGAGCACGCTTTGAATCACATTACAGTACTTTTTCATATCTCTAATCAAGATCGCAGTTTTCATGGAGCTGGGGGTAACTAGATAGTGTTGAGCTGCAAGGTCTACAAACTACAAAGGGAGTTAACTGTGTATAGAATTGCAAATACAAAGTTTCAATCTAAGAGTTCATTTCTAAAATGCACTTTGAAATACCTCTGTTAAGTTTCAAGACATAAGAAGTTTGTGTTCCTAAATTTTTTGGACACTTTATTAACAAGAACTTGAAGTGGAATGACTCATCTTAGGATTTCTAGCATTGATATTTTTTTTTTTTAAAAAAAAGACAGATAATGCAAAACTTTAAAAGCTTTTCATTTGAGGTCAAAGTAAAATTATTGTTTCTTTGGAATTGCCTCCCACCTCATTAAAATGCCCCCCCCCCCCGAAAAAAAATTCATTCAGCAAAAGTAAGAAGATATTTTTTTATTTAAATAAATTTTTGGCCTGTAAAATTATCCCATGCAGCACACAAAACACTTATGTAATGTCAGATCTGTGCATAATCATGCACAATTCTTTGTTGAAGGTAGATACTTTTTTTTCTTAAAAAAGTCAAAAATGTGCTTTTTACTGTATTGAGATTTTTTTTTAAATATTTCAAATTTATTTTCACTTTTGGAAGAGAAAAATACCCTCCCTATTGTGTCTGGAACCCCCAGGCAGCAATTCTAAACAAACATTTCTTTAAGGATGGCCTGAAATGTTTCATTTTGACATAATTCATAAAGCTGTACTTCAAGTTAAAACACAAAACGGTAATTATAAGTGGTAGGAGGGACTCTAACTTGTATAAGATCTGCATGGGAACGTAGTACTCACTAATTCACAAAACTACATAATTATTTCCTATTTTCAAGATTTAATTAGCAGCTTGCGTTTTAAGTACTCCTTGGATTTTCCGAGTTTAGCAGTGTTGTCTGAATACATGGAACAAGAAAACAAAGCACGAGTCAAGAGAGAATCTGGTTTATGTATGAGTTCATTATGCATGTAACTGTACAAAAAATAATTCACAGCAAAATTATGTGCAGGCACTAATAAGCTCAATAACAGAGAAAAAACAAAACAGGCATGAAAAACAATCAACAGAATAGTATGACATTTTTCACCGCACTAGCACCTATTGTTACTGGTTCAGAGGTCACAACTTATAAACACAGACATACCTTCACCAGAATTACATCTTTATCTTGGGATATATTTCTGAAAGTATATGGTGTCTTAATTAATTAATTAATTAAAGCATGCACTGAACAGAATGGACATATATACTCAAACAACCTTGTATTTCTTTTTTCCTGACACAAGTTTCATTAATTTTTTTTTACATTGAACTTATTAAATGCATTAATTTGCAAAGAAAAAATTTACGTACAGGTGTGTTTATCTGAAGGTAACAGTAGCTTTGAGATTCAGTTTTAATGACAGATAAACAGAGTAGTGATATGTTTGTCAGCTAGGTTTACTGGGGCACAGTCTAATTGGGTAACACAGGAAAATATCACAGTAAATGGACAGGAAATTATTTTTTTCACGGGTTTCCTTATATTTGTTACAGGGAAGTTCCAGTACTACAGAGCTTTTATTGTACAGTTCATTTTCAGACAAAAATAAACTTTTGGAAACTGTTTGGTTAGTCAATAATATTTTTTAAAAGTACATTAATAATATAGAACCAAGACATTTTATATTGTAGCAATATCAGGAAAAAGTACAAAGTACACAGTTAGCATTTGTAAGAAGTTTAAAGTGGTTTAAACTGTCAACACGAAAGATAGAACCCTTTATTTAAAATGTCAGATGTACAGGTAAATGTGTAGGTAGGATTAACAGGTTGAAGGAGTTTAAAAGGGCTTTCTGGCTTTAAATTTTTAACTGAAATTAAATTCACAACATTAAAAGTTCATAACCATACATAAATTTCTGTATACAGTGTAAACATAAACAGCTTTGTGCTAGGCCTGTATTTAATATCATATCAAATGAACTAAATCATCCCTTAATACGGAGGTGACTAATGTACATTACACTCAACACCTTTAACGAGAAAAGAAAATTGAAGGTAAACAAAAAGTCAGGCAACAAAAGTTAGGAGCAAAATATTAAGTTTGTTATCAGTATACCACTGTACCAGTAGTCAACAATATATGATTCATACAATAAAGATAAATTGTACATCTGTGTATTGTTGTAAAAATATATGCATTGGACACAGAAACCTTTATATAGAGTACTTGGAGAGTTCATGAGGAAACCGTAATTGTGGAGAACTCAATACTTTGATCTGATTTCATATAATACTATAAATATCTATTAAAAAAACATATCAACAGTACTATTTTAGACCCTATGAATGCTAATGCTTCACTTTTCTAATAGGAAATTTTGAGATCATTTCCCTTTTAATTTATTTTGGAAACGAATACATGCAATGTATGTGCACAAGACATGATATTTTTAAAACTAGGTATTCCAGAAATTTTTAAAATTTAATGCAAGGTTTAATATTTGGAACTTCCTCTGGTAGACTAGACTAAATTTCAGAAGTGAGAACAAGACAGTAATACAATAATCCTGTGGAAGTACCCTTTCACCGAATCACGACATTTCATACTTCTCAAAGTGTTTTCTCATGGCTTCCTCATACTCAGGTTTGGGGTTCTGAGACAAGGAAACGGTGCGTTTCTTGTTTTTGTTTTTACTTCCCTTCCTTTTGAGGATGGTTTTGAGGTTTTTGAATGGATTAGAGGACTCCTGCGACACTGTGTGAGGAACTTTCTCCTCCATTTTTGGAGTACTCGGAACCGAGGAACAGTTTTCCCGTGACAAGCTCTCGATGCTCGATATCGAGTGAGGGCGATCTTTAGTCACTAATTCCAAGTTAGAATTTTTATTCAGAGCTGGCATAGAACCTGCTGACATCATTTGACTTGGTGATATTGCCATCAGATGGCCACTGTCGTCATAAGAAATATTCACATCACAATTATCACTTCCCCAGCTTACGTTACGACCACTTCTCTGATTCTTTGTTATTGAGGAATTACTTCCATGTAATGAAATATCTCTCAGTTCTGACTCCTCTGGAATAAGGTAGTCTAAGGAATGATCAGGATAACCCGCGATACTTTTACACTTTTTGTCCCTATTTTCTCTCGCCTCTTTGTTCTTTCTACCCAGTGAAAACAGATTTTCCTGACTGCTGTACTGTCGACCTTTCTTCAGATTTCCCTGAATTTCCATGCCAGCCTCTGAGAGATCCAGGCTACTTCGATGTTTCCACAAAATATCTTTCATTGAACCAAATGCACCCTTGTTTTTTACTTTTTCTTTCACTTTCGGACTACCGGGCACCTCTGCGTCGGCCCCCTGTATGTTGTCCTGGTGCTCCTTTGACAGTCCGTTTTTCCCTTTCCGAGAATAATGTTCTCTCACTGCCTCTATCAGCCTCTGGTTTGTATTTTTTAAATCCTCAATTTCAAGAGTCTGTTTTTGAATGATGTCGTCTTTTTGTTTAATAAGATGTTTGATGTGAGTTTTATCTTTCTTTAATTGTCCTTCCAGAAAGAGTAGGTGTGCAAGCACCTCGCCCATCTGTCTGTCTGACTGACACCGCTGGGCTCGCTGGGCCTCGTGGCTCTTCTTTAGCTGACACTGCAGTGTGGTCACTGTGTAGTTACTGTGGGCCTTCACGTTCACCAGTTCTGCCTGCAGACTCTGGATCATCTTCTTGGCCTCACTAAGTTGGTCTTTCAGCATGCCCGTTTCTTCTTCAAGCTGAAAATAGCAAAGACAACACACATATTATTTCAAACAATCTTGATACGGATTCCTTTCACATAACACATAAAACAGTCAGAGACCACATCAGTAGGGCTTACTATGTTATGAAGAATCAATATTTAATATCCCCCCAATTCAGAAATCACGATTTTGAGTGCAGATTTTCATAAAGACAAGGCCGCACACTCCGTTTATTACACTATGACGTAGGTACTTTCACAATAAAAACTAGAAATATTGAAAAATCAATCAGACGACTCAAGCCTTAGAGCTCTAGAAAGTAAAAATAGAAGTAAACAAAGAAAACGCTATGTAATGTTGAGGCTTGATCCTGTTGGACCATGAAATTGAATGTTATAGATATTATCATGTTGTCTCAGCGATTCCCTGATGTACAGGGACCAGACAACCCACATAAAGGTCCCTTTATTTCCTTTACTAATGTGAAATTTGATTAGAACCAGATGATGACCATAAAAAAGAATTTTACCTTGAGAGAAAAAAAAAATCAGTAACGTTGAACAATGATAGAAAGTGTGGTAAAACAGTGGTGGGGTTTAAGTCATGCTTCATTGTAGAAGCATGTCTCAGCTTCCTTCATTTGATCTTTAGATCTAAAGTACGTTATATATATACTCCCCTAACACTGAGCCTTCATAACTCTTAAGTATTTCTACATCATTACTGTCAACAGAGATTTACTGTCACTGTGTGCTTTCTCCACCCACTTGCATACTTTTAAATTTTCATGGTCAGGGGTTTTCATTTCATTCTCAGTTCATAAAATGAAATGTAAACAAGTACATAAAAATGTGAAATGAGGGAGTTGCAATTCGATTAAAATAGATAAGGTCATAAACTTTTATTAATAATGAATTTGTCGAGGAGCTATGAGAGCAAATGAAATCGATATATCTATCCTGGGGGGTGACCAGCACTACATTAACCCACTACTTAAAATCCACCTTAAGATTCCAGTTATACAGTGTTCTGTGACTTCTGTCCATGAAAACATATAAAGACAAAATTTTCTACCTGAGGAACGGTTGTTATGGGAACCTAATTGCTGGGGATATTAAAGTAAAAAAGATGGGGTTATTAGCAGTGCCACAATGATCAATAAAGGGACATCAAAAGGAATGAACAACTCATTTATTCCTTTATGTTCATAGTCCCCAGGATCAAGTTGTCTCCCCTTGTAGAACAACTATGTACCCAAGAAATTAGAGGTGCAAGGTCGAGATTTTCCTTGACAAACAACTTGACTCATTACTAAAAAGTAGCCATAAAGATAAAGGGGTGAGTTGAATCAGAGTCAGGAAATTGTGACCTACCCCTCAAAATGCAGATTTGTCCTTCTGCTGAGCACCTGTTGTCATGTATTATTCATGATAAGAAACTTGTCCAATCAATACCATGGGGGATTCCCTGCGAGACGGGCCATTTAATAAAACCATTTATGTCACAGAGACTTTTATATTGATCTTTTTTCCTGTGATGTAAGAACAATCTCTAATCTTATTACAATGTATCCGTATAATCAGAAAATCAAATCATATGAATATTTCAGTGTATTTCTGCATCATTGCACTGAAAATGTAAGGTATGAAATCAGAATAAAGTAAGTCAGCACCTCTTCTTACAAGATCCACGTACTTTCAATTTCATCAAGCAGTAATAATAAGATTGTGGTTATATCAATTTTTAGATTAAATCACGCTGTACCGTTTATTTATCATTTAGGTAAAAAGACTCTCAGAGACTAATAAAACTCAAAAAAGACTCACAAATTAAGTTCTTACCCGCACAATCATGGCACCAAAATTGACTGCATCCAAATATAGAATTAAACACAGGGTTCACTTGTAATGATGAAAAGCAAACACAAGCAGTAAGAAATATACTCAGATTAAAGTCTTCAATAGGCTTGTGTAATGCATAGGGGTAACTGGAATTAGATCTACAGGAATTGGACAATATCCAGTCTTATTCTGATCAGACTTGGGGAAGTTAAGTGGATTTAAATTTATAACCAAACATAACTGCTAGACCATGTATGAACTTTTTTTATCCAGAGTTCACCATTTTATAACACTATAATTTCCTTATGTAGATTGGTGCATATTTGAGGAAACAATTAGTTTATCCAAATACCTAAAAATTCTAACAGAGCAGCTAAAACTTTCAATGTTTACAGAACTGAATTGATCAATTTTTGTTGCATGAAAGTTTGGCCAATTGTAGAATATTATTCATGCAGGACAGCTACAGGAATCTAGATTTCTACAGTTTTATAAACAAACAGGACACGCTTGACATCACAATTAGACTGAATATATTAAATTACAGAAATATTGTTCTCATTTACGACAATTTAGAACTAGTTGGTTTTTCCCTCATAGACCACTTCCAAATGTTTTTTATAAGCTTAACCTAAAACTGTGTAAAATTGTCATAAAATTTAACTGCTGCTTTTCATAAAAGGAAGAATTAAATTATCTGGTACAATATGTAAAATAAGCAGCCACATTATGCTGTAATTTTCATTACTAAGTAATCCATTATGCTAATTAATACCTGACTGATCGCTCTCTCGCTCTAGTTCAGAGGGGGTCATACGGGGTCATGATGATAACACATGGGGAACATAAAATGGACCAAGTTGTCACTCTACGATAGCCAATCTCACGTTCTTCTCTTGTGACAGGCCTTGATTCAATAAAGAATTCTTAGGCCTAAACCTTAATTGTTCAATTTTTGGTAATTAAGAGCTTTCTGATGCTCTAACACTTACTTTGAAATGTCATGCTTGTTGCATGTCTTTTTTGTTCTCCAAAGTCATATTTACTATAAATTTTAAAGTAAATTGGTTTTACAGTAACAAATTAGTCTTATAAAGTAGTCCCTGTGGAAATGCTCCTTGACAATGAGCAGCAATGAAGTTAGCATTCTGATAATCACACACACTGCAAAAAAAGACTACAAGACAAAACAATTAAGGGATATTAACTTTTTTTCGGAACACTATCAGCATACAGAGTGTTCATGCTAAGAATTGAAAACTCCGCTTTTTACCTGGCAACAGAATTCATCAGTTAGACAGAAGTCAGGACTCTTGCGTGATTAGAAGATAAGACTCATACTCAATCACAATTACCTTCTCTTAGAGATTTTGACAGTAAGGTCTGCAAAACTGCCAGCATCACGGAACATGGACTTTCTGCTTCAGACAACGGAAACAGCAAGTCAGCAAAATATACTGATCTCAACATGCAGCAGACTCAAGGATAAATGTCCATGGTCTGATTTAGTGCAGTGGTGAAGTAATACTTCATTAGAAGGAGACAAAGTTCTGCTTCAGAAGCGCTCCATCAACCACGCCATTAACACTAATAAATGGAAATTACACAACCCTCCTACCTCATTTTTGCTGACAAAAAATTATTTTTGTCCCACTATTTTTTTCCTTGGAACTATATCTACAAAGAGTTTAATATATATATTTAACTTTTTTGTTCCACAAATAGTTAAGATTGAGATAACAAAGTTGAAATAAAAAAACACATTTCTTAAGTCCTCTCAACCTTCACCCGAGCATAATTCTTTATAGAAAGTTAAAAATATTTTCCCATAAAACAATGGAAGGTGTGTCACAGTTTCCTCTTGTATGTACTTCTCTTCCTACCCTTGAATTAAAGAAAACCTCTTGATGAGATAAGTACATGTCTTTTCCTGCACTATTAGATGACCTCATGTCTGCTGGATTCCAAATTGTCTGAATACAATTATTCCAGTTGTTTGGGACCCTAGTCCTCTAGGGCCATTAGACATGAGACTTGACCATTAATGAAAATGTGGAGCTTCTAGAGGGCACCTTGCCCTCATTGACTGCCTAATGAACCAGGGTAATTATTTACTGGGACAAAGGGTGGGGGGAAAATGGCTACTGGTCAGGGGAGATAATCGCATTTCTCCGAGATTCATAAATACTTTAAAAAGCAAGCTCTTCAATAAAACTAAGCTGTTCCATTAGATAAAAAGTCACACACATTCATATATTCTCTTTGTGTGAAGATCCTTAATATAAAAGAAACCAGAACATATTAAAACCCATGTATTTGCCAGCAGTACATGAAAGTATCTTTGTTGAAAGCCTCTCTGAACCTATACCTAAATACCGCACATAAAAATTCTTTTATGCTTTTTATATGAAAGAATTTTTCTTTGTGCTTAACCTTTGGTACAATTTCCTTCTGGCCTTATTGATAAAAAAGAACCCAATTTAACCCCATAGCCTTTCACAATTAATTAACCCTACATAGTAACCCCTGCCTGAATGCTCATATTAACAATACAAATATGAAGAAAATATTTGATGATTCCATTTATCATTGCCACAGGGCAATGGTTAAATCATTTGATCAATATGTAAATGAAACAAGCAGAAACATTGATCAAACCATTTCCTGCTCCCAGGCTTTCACTGAAGTTTACTGTTATATCAATATATGTAAGATGCTTTACAAATATCACTGATTTCTCCTTCCCTCTGTTAACAAATCCAAAAAATCAAAATAATTATTTCTGCTCCATAAAACATTTCTTTACCTTGTTTTCATTAATATCCATAGTGAATTTTTATCCGTGTTTTATCCTGTATCCGTGTTTTATCATGTATTTAGAGCCTCAGAAGACAAAGAGAAGGCCATTATACCCATGGCTCACGATCGGCAAATATTGAAAATAAAACCCCATATGATTATACAGTGTAATAGTTTCCTCCTTGTTTTATACACAGTAAATCCTTCCACAGATACACACACGACCAGTGACTAGCTCTCACCTCAACCAAAGCGTAATATTAACCATTCCAGGTAAAATTCTCGGCAGTCTACACGCTAGACTATCGATAATTGGACCGAGTCAGTAGAACCTCGAGTAACACTGCACACACAGAGGTATTGGTTTAGGAGAACGGTAGTCCTCTGTACTAA